TTCTTTTCAATCGAACATCAAGAAAATGAAATTTATTATTTGCCTCTGCTTCTAAAGTGATATTAATTGAGGGGTGACAATTATTGAATTGATGTGTTAAGGATAAATGTCTGCTTTGGGCCACATCAATATGTATCTATAATTTCATTGGTTTATGCGTTCTTCTTCATTGTTCATTTGTAAAAGCAGCAGTTTTGAAATTAGAGTGATTACTTTTATAGACGCTTTACTAATTTGTCTAGTCAATAACCATGACTATGAGATGTGTATGAAGAAGTACTGATTTTAAATGATTGAAGGTAATCCGGGATGAAGCCTTAGGCCCAAATTTTGTCATCTGGCCGTTATTAACAACTTATCCTAAAGGAATTGTTACTACACATTAGAATTGAACCCAATCGAGTCCGTATTATTAAGAAGTTTGAGTTTTCTGGTTAAAGTCCAAGAGATCCGACAAATGTAAAGTGTCATGGTTATAAATCGATAAATGCATAGTAAATCCCGAATCGGCAATAAACTTGTAACAGTCTTTACTCTTGATATGAACTACGGTTGAATGTGACTATATGAAGTTCAATAAAGAAAATATAGTTTTTATCACTATCTAGGAACTATTACTCAATCACAGTTTGATTATGTAATTAACCATTACAGAATTTCATCCTATTTATGAACCTCACTTACTTAGCTGGTTAACATTCATCATTGATATCAATTGTCGTATGGAACTAATATCATCAATACAGAAAATATTACGGTGAATATAGTGAACTAATTGCAAACATCATCATACTTAACAAATGCAAAAACAACTTCTTACTAATCATTTGTACCCAATTTTTGCAAACAATCCTTAGAATCATTAATTATAATGTTAGGATTTTGATTTTATTCAATATTGTATCGTAACACTGAAGAGTCTCACAAAAGGACGAAACAGACGTCCGGTACTTATCATTATTATGATTATTAATGGCTTTATTCAGCATTATCTTTTGGTACAATATAGAATTCTCAGCACGAATTATTTCAACAAGTTTCTTTTACAAAAAGAACAAAATAAGGTGAAAAAATGACTTGAATCCGTATAACTTTTCAAATTAGAGACATATTTAAGAATACAGGTTATTGATTAGGTTAATTCTAACAACCTGTTCGTCACAGAGTATATTTGCTAACTAAGGTATTATAGAACTTTGATACCTTTGCTTGAGTGTATGGATTTTAATGTATTGACAATACGTTCTACCCGAAGATAAAGAAGGAGAAAGATATGAATAAAGGGGGATAGCTAGTATCTGATAAGACAACACTTGCCAGGAGTTTGCATGAATTTTGATGTTCATCCACAAACATATTAATTATGATCTCGAAAGATTTACCACACATCTTGCTAACTGCTTTCAGCACTCACCGCAATACAGCAAAGTTTTTTCTCAAAATACCATGAAAGAATAATGGAGAACAGTGAAGAATAATGGGTAATATGCAAAAATTGACAAATTGTAAGAGTAAATGACGAGTAATCCCAAAAGCATGCAGTCTCTTTATGTAGTAAGTCAAATGGAAAAACTTTCTTCGATAATAGTAAAAAATGAGAAGACCAAGAGAGATCAGAGGAAAAGGTAACATCAAGATAATTGACCTTCGACACTGTGTTTATCAAAGAGTCTCCAATAACACAAGCATTATGGGATCTCAAAATGGTGTTTAGATTCCGTTCATGTCTCATGCTAAAGTTAACAGCTTGACATTTAGACGGATTAGGTATGACAACATTAACAACAGACTGACATTCAATACGAGACAAAAACTCACTCATTTCTATGGAATATAAAGAGGTAGAAATCAGCATACATACAGTGAGATCATCCACAAGTTTCACAATAGTATTTTCTGTTGAAGATGGCAAATCTAGGTTTTCAATGGTAGTCTAATATCAATCAATTCATGATCTCAATTTAAAATATTTCATTAACCTAATTATTGTGAAAGCTTGTTTATTTATGTTTGTACATTTATCTATTAATAAATACTAAAGAACAACACAAGTTAGTATTTACTTACGCTTCTTACTCCGCATGGAAGAGAATAGGCCGCCCACCGGTACTCTCCAACTAACCCTGTCCTAGGCAATCCTTTCCAGAACATTCCAGTTGTTATTTATCCTTTTCATGTCTGCTTTCATTTCCCAATGTAATGAATTCTTTGGCCTTCCTCTTTTCCGTTTCCCCTCAGGATTCCAAGATAGCGCTTACCTCGTGATGCAGTTTGATGATTTCCGTAATGTATATCCTATCCATTTCCATCGTGTTTTCCTAAATTCCTCTACATAATATCAAAAAATGTCCAGTTCTTTTTTTACTGTTTCCTTTTGACTGATTTCGTTTACTCCCGATGTTTCTATTAAACACAGAATCTTGATTTAATAACATGAAACAAAATCTTTGTATAAACATTAATAATGGTTTACTCGTTACTATGTGTGCGTGTGTATGGGTGTATGTATGTAAGTTGAGGTATGTGGTCATGGTAATGTTGGATGTGAAATCTTGACAACTACAAGTTATTTGATGACAGAAATTAAAGGAAAAACAACCCACAATATTACTCATGACAACATTAAATATTTTTGTATTATTTGTATTGAATTATTATGGTTGCGATGGGAATATTTCTGATTGTTACAATTTGATGTTGAATTGATTATACTGAATTACTCTATAGGCTTATTGAATAATGGTTGATTTCAATAAGTTGGAGATATGAATTTTGGAACAGTAAATAATGGATTTCATTACGTTGGGAAATAGAAACCGATATGAAAAGGTTGAATAACAACTGGAAAGAGCTGAAAAGGATTGCCTAGGACAGGGTTAGATAGAAAGTGCTAATGGACGGCCTATGCTCCGCCTTGAGGAGTAACAGGCGTAAGTAAAGTAAGTTAAATAATGGATTTGGTTCTGGAAAGAAAAGAAAAATCATTACATGGATAGAATACAGGTATATTCCATTGAAAGATTTTAACGATTCCACTAGTGTAGATTGATTATGATTGACTGACTTCACATTTAATAATGATGGGGTTTATTGACAATTTAGTTGATCAGATAGTTTTTTTTAGATCATCACAAATGATCCAAAGGTGTATGTGAATGCATATTTTAGTACTTAAAAGTATTGCGCGGTTGGCTTTTAATCTGTTGTCTGAAATCGTATTATGAAAGTATCAGTTGGATTGGTTTTATTTACTATTTCTTTCCTTCATAACTTAACTTTAAAGGAAAACCAACTATGTTGAAGACTGATCTATTTCATCTTGTAGTGTTATTATAACATGAATGAATGAAGATTTATTCAAATTCAGATATCAAAACCCTGTCAACAAACTTTATCATTTCCATTTGGCCAACATGTATCCTTCGACATAACGGTGCAACACCTCTGTAATTCAGGATCAGAAAAAAATTATATGTAAGGTAAATAAAAGTAATGTGAGATAATTTGATGTTAGGTATTTTCAATTTCTCGAAAGAACTGGAAAGCGTTGTCTTGGACAAGGTTGAATGGAGGGTGCTGGTAGGAGGCTTATGCTCCTCCACAAGAAGTAAGTAAGTAAGTAAGTAAGTAAGTAAGTAAGTAACTAAGTAAGTAAGTAAGTAAGTAAGTAAGTAAGTAAGTAAGTAAGTAAGTAAGTAAGTAAGTAAGTAAGTAAGTAAGTAAGTAAGTAAGTAAGTAAGTAAGTAAGTAAGTAAGTAAGTAAGTAAGTAAGTAAGTAAGTAAGTAAGTTCAATTTAAAGGGATCATCACTTGTATATGTTTTTTTGTATGTGTACATGAATATTTGTACAGATACATAGGAACACTAGTAGTTTGTTGACATTACCGACAAAAGTTGTGTTCAAAATAAGAGAATCTACATCTTTCTTGATAAACTAAGATAAACACTAGCTAAACTGTTCTATATTCATAGCCAACTGTAAACAAATAAACACACACACACACACACTTAGAGAGAGAGAGAGAGGAAGTATTTTAAAAATCTCGAATCTATCTTTCAGGTTGATTTCTTCTTATTATATTCATCTGATATGATTGAAGTATATTATAGCTTACTGTACACATACTGAATGACATGTCTCAAAATCTTTTGCAATGACACAGATGCATCCACTCTTTGTGTTCTCCCAAATTCTAATCTTCTGAATTTTTCATGTCCCTTTCTTTTTTCTCTTCCCAAATTCATTTCACTGGATTATGCTCTTTGAATAACATCTTTAAACGCTAATCTTTCCGATGACTGTTTGTACTTTTACTACTTCTACCACTACGGGATTTGAGTCGACAACTGCACCTGTGTACTAATGTGGTATGGTAACTCGAACTGATGTACGTACGTACGAAGTTCTACGTTGTTACTGACTGACTGACATATACTACTGACTCTGTCTCAACTTCATCCAATATTATTAACTATTAAATATTCTGTCTGAATTCTATTGAGTGAGAAACATTTTATCATTTCATTGTTTGAAAGTTGATAGGCTAGAAAGAATCTTTTAAGAAAACCTACCTACTTACTGGAGTCAAACGAGGTTTATAAATTGATGTGAGGAATTAAAATTAGAAGGGGTTTTTGTGGATATTGAAGCTAGACCATCATGAAAAATATCAAAGCACTGGATGACCATTTTGTTCTACTGTGAGACTCCTCAGTAGTGCGCATCCACAATCCCGCTTTGCGAGATTCGAACTTAGGATCCACCTGTTAGTCTTGTGTGCGAGCACTTAAGCTTTAGACCACTGAGCAGGTATCTGACAGAATCTCTACATATATATTCATATAATGAAAATTGAAATTCTTCTTAAATTTTACTTGATTTAATTAATATCGAAAAACAAGGTCATGATTTGATCTCTATTTGTAGTTTATGATAGTAACAATGATAACAGCGGTAACATTGAAAATTTCATCCGCTGTTTAATATTTATTCATGTATATGACAATCAATCATATTGGGGCTACTACTAATACTACTACTACTACTACTACTACTACTACTACTACTACTACTACTACTACTACTACTACTACTACTACTACTACTACTACTACTACTACTACTACTACTACTACTACTACTACTACTACTACTACTACTACTACTACTACTACTACTACTACTACTACTACTACTACTACTACTACTACTACTACTACTACTACTACTACTACTACTACTACTACTACTACTACTACTACTACTACTACTACTACTACTACTACTACTACTACTACTACTACTACTACTACTACTACTACTACTACTACTACTACTACTACTACTACTACTACTACTACTACTACTACTACTACTACTACTACTACTACTACTACTACTACTACTACTACTACTACTACTACTACTACTACTACTACTACTACTACTACTACTACTACTACTACTACTACTACTACTACTACTACTACTACTACTACTACTACTACTACTACTACTACTACTACTACTACTACTACTACTACTACTACTACTACTACTACTACTACTACTACTACTACTACTACTACTACTACTACTACTACTACTACTACTACTACTACTACTACTACTACTACTACTACTACTACTACTACTACTACTACTACTACTACTACTACTACTACTACTACTACTACTACTACTACTACTACTACTACTACTACTACTACTACTACTACTACTACTACTACTACTACTACTACTACTACTACTACTACTACTACTACTACTACTACTACTACTACTACTACTACTATTACTACTACTACTACTACTACTACTACTACTACTACTACTACTACTACTACTACTACTACTACTACTACTACTACTACTACTACTACTACTACTACTACTACTACTACTACTACTACTACTACTACTACTACTACTACTACTACTACTACTACTACTACTAATACGAATAATAGTAATAATAATAAGGGGCATTTTAAAGAACAATCCTCTTTTTTTTCTACCCTATGAATTGTAAAAGATGCAATTGAAAACTTCAGTTCGTTGAATAGAGATGTAAATTATGAATAGTGATGATATCAACAACAACAACAACAACAACGAACAGAAAATCAATAATATTCTATCATATATAGATACTATATGTAACCTATTCTTTCATTAAAGGGTAAGTTAAGCGCAATAGATGGATAATTTAAATAATTCTAGGTCAAGTTATATATGTATGTTAGTAGTCAAAGTAACAATTCAGAGAATTTTAAATCACAAAATAATCCCTTTATTTGTATATAAAATGTGTGTGTGAGTGTGTGTGTGTGTGGAGAGAGAGAGAGTGAGGGAGAGAGAGTTACAGAAGGAAAAGTAGAACTTACAAATGAAGGTAAATTAATGGATTTACATGTACATTCGGATTGATGAGATATGGGGAGAACTTTGAAAATAATCGGTATGTTTATTTATCAAAAAAAAAATAATTATGTAACAGGTAAGAAACCAATTTCTTTTGTATATAAATATATTTCTTAGTTTAAGGGGATTTGTGCAGATAGTACAATTTTCACAGTTTAAATTACGAATTGATTTTACTTAGATCACCATTGGAAACCTGGAGGCACTTGATAGTCATTTCGTCCTAGTGGGGAACGTTTTAGCAGTCTATATCTACGACCACACAGTAAAGACTCGAGCTCATGATCCTCGTTCTCTCGTGTGTACGATTAACCTCTGGATTACCCAGTTGGCACTAAAGGTAACAGATGAGGGTTATGCGATATCATGAAATGAATGAAGCTGAACATCTACACTAGTGGATGTTAGCCCAGTGGTCCGGAGGTCAGGCATCCCCACTCGAGAACGAAGGTCGTGGGTTCATTTTCCAGGTGCATGATCGTGGGTGTGCACTATTGAGAGATTATAGTACTTCTCCTACACTTGAGTTTATTGACAGTTGATTTTGTCAATCTCTTTAATTAACTTACTTAGTAGACAGTGTTTTTCGGTGATAATTAGTCCATATGTTTGTGTTATTATTATTATTATTATTATGTCTGTATGAACATGCATTATGGACTATATATATGACGGCTTGCGAACACACCTTCTGTCTAGCTTAAACGTTAGTTGCTTAAATCGCTCGATAAATCATTCTCTTTCCCATATATATATGCATGCTTGGATCTTATTAACTGATTCAATTCTTTATTAGTGTCTTTATTCTACTTTTAATTCGTCTCTGTATTCACTTGATAGCGCGCATTAGCTTTTCTGCTGGAATTCGTTTGATGTGCTTGTGGCTTAATCATCTGTGCTACTAAATAATAAACTGTAGTTGGCGCTATGTGTTGCCTTCTGGATTTACACACTGTTGGAATGTATTTAATAACAATTGTCTGGGTGATTGATTTACAAACCATACGAAGTTATCTCGAAGCTAATTGTTATATCTAGAGCTTATATATACCGCGTATAACTTGAGCACTAGAATGCAATGAGAAGACAGAAGACAAGTGATAGGGATGTTATTCCAGACAGTGTCCATTATAGTACAAAACTGTCATGTATTTTTATTTTTTAGCAAAAACGAAATCATCATTACAGTTCCCCAATCTGCATACAGGGGGTTATTAGCATTGTCCAATCGGGAAGCTACACGTAGGACTCCTAGAATATTTTTCCAAAAGAAGACTGGATGGAATATCTTTGGCTCTTTCTGAGCTTCTCAGAACTTCCTATAGTTCACCCATGGACCGTCCTCACACTAATCCACTACAAGATCACATACAGGACCGAAATGGTAGTCCAGTGCTTTCAGGTTTTTAATAGTAGTCTAACTAAGTGCAGTTCGTTATTTTACCTATGAAAATATGCATTAATATGTTCATTCTTTTTACTTAATGAATCTATTTGACATCCTTGACAAGTTATTGTGTCAGTAAATCAAGAAAACAACAACATACATATACTAATATGGATTACATAGACAAGATTTTTAAGTTTAGACCTCCAACTGATCTATGTTAAATATATTGAAAAATCAACGTGCACTGGAGAACTTTCTCTTTATAGTATCGGATCCTTCAATAAGAGATAAATTCATAAGTTCAAGTGAATAGCCGTAACTAACAGAGTTCATTCATGTCGAGTAAGATTATGTTGCTCACCAATAACATTGAAAGATAACTGAGTGGTATCATGATTTTATTGAAGTCAAACAAGTAAATTACAGGATACTGGCTAATTAATTCAAAATTGTATGGGTTCGATCCCTTTTGAAAACATGGATATTCACTGCAGCATAACTCTTCACTATAAAAAGTCAGTTGTCCAATGCTTTTTAGTTTTAAATGGGTGCTTAACTAAGATCAATCTATGATGTAAAATAAAAAATTCAATAAGATTTTATTACATAAATAATCTATGTGGTTAAAGATATAACAACTCAGTCATATATCTTGAAAATGTAGACCTAATCCTCACTAGCGAGAAAAAAGCGTTAACAAATCTAACTTCATTTTCAGAGTTGGTTCGAAGGTTGAGCATTCGCATGAGAGATCGAAGGGCCTGGGTTCGAATTTCACAAGCTGGATCGTGGATACGCACTGTTAAGGAGTCTCACAATCAGACAAAACGGCCATATAGTACTTCCAGGTTTTCAATGATGATCTAATATCAATCGATAATTCATGATCTCAATCAAAAACTTAATAATCTCCACAAACCCATAATGAAACCACATCTTAAGTGAATTTGAGTTCGTTAAAATAATTCCTTATTTTCCTTATGTTATTAAAATAAAAAAAAGTGATTCGCAACCAATAAACAATATCCAGGGCGTTACTACATTCTTGTTCAATGATCAATACTGTAATTTGTTTAAACTATTCAACTATAACTCATTAGGGAGTTTGTAAATATTAAATGAATATTAAGTGACAAAAGTTTATTTGACCTGCTTTCTCATTCTTTTTTAATCAACCACACCCGATATTCTCCCTGCTCTCCCTCTTCTTCCTCTTCTTCTTCTTCCTCTTCTTCTTCATAGTTTATGTAATCCATTGTGTTTAGTGAAACAAACAGATTATGTTTTTTCTTAATTATCCACTGATATATCTGATGATCATTTGTGTATTAAACAAGGTTACATTTGCTTATATTCAATATAATCATATGATAATAGATTGATCATTGTAAATTCATGTAAGTGTATGATGTGTACTACTAATGTCAACAGATATAAGTAGTATATATCGTCAATTGAATGTGGAATAACTGATGGCGCAAAGTTAAGAAGATCAAAGAGAAGAGAATGAGAACAGAGAATGATTGATGTGGTAACGAAAGAACAATGAAGTCTGAGATGATTGATCGACATTTTGTTAATGAAGTATTCATTGTATGGTTCTCAGATGTTATTGAGATGTTCTATAATACAATTCGATTGTCCGTACTTGTATTCTCGTTCACTACAAGTGTACAATATTAGGGTAAATAAGAAGTTGTTCTGTTCAGCTCATCATTAGAAAGCCTAAACATTGGCAGCATCATATCAGAGTAAACTTTTAATCAAACCAATAAGCTGTTAGTATTGTTTCACAAGTTAATTTGACGAAATGCCACATTTTTAACATGGAACATGCCTATAAGTAATGATATGTGTGAGAGGATTTATTGGCAGAATTATTTCAAAACAGTTCAAAGAAACTTTGTAGCTTCATTTCAAGCAGAGATAGATAATAGCCTACAGTGAAATCCAGGACACGCGTTTCGTCCTACTTGAGATTCGTTATCTGGATGTATCTATATTCAAGCGTTGATATAATAAATTTTTCTAAATTTAACAAGGCACTGGTTATTTGAAATTAGTAGGTAAGTGGATAATTCGATGGTAACTGGAGCAAACCATATTGGGTTCAATTCCCGGAGTGAAGACTAATTCTACGATGTAAGTGCATCGTGCTGATAAGTCCCAAATCGAATAAAAAACACGTCCTGCATTCCACTGTCATACACCTTCTATCTCTGCTTAAAATGATTGTAACTTGATAGTAATATCAAGGCAGTCCACATAGGATGCACATATGCCAATAAGAGACTAATCGATTGTAGTCTTAACCATCAATGGGAAGATCCAAACAACGACATATATTTCGTTACATGTTTTGATTATTTAACTAATGGTCTGACTACATTTTATGGTAAAATAGATAAAAACGTGAATAAGGAGCATTTTCTGTAACATTTGTAAATTTTACTTAGTGATCTTAATCAAAACGACAACAGAAAACAAAGGTGAATCGAAAAGAAGTAACTCACAGCATCAATTATGCAATAATACGAAGTTCTTTTCTTTAGCCTAAATTCAAGTTGTAACCAAGGAACAATGTCCGTATTGTTGAAAATGACAAATCAGATGACGTGGTGGTGATTTTTCATTGACTAAAGTGTTTCGAATATATATCACACATACCTAGCCACTGTCTGCCTCGAAGCTCGTTATTCGTGGGTATGGGAACACATTAGAAGAAAGTTAGGAGAGTTCGAATGAAGATGTAGCGTCAATCCATGAAGCCAATGACTTTTGGACTAAGTCCTGTAGATCGATGTAGAATACCCGTTCGAGATCCATGAGATAACCGTAACCAATGGTAAGAGAATTCGGGTGACATGGCTCAGAATTAGACGTAATGGAACCCATTATTTATCTTGAGTTTTAAAACTATCTGATATATTTTACTCAGTGAAATAATATTGTTTATGTATAATCTCGTCTATTACTATTTATATTGTGTTGTGATAACTTCAGTCAACACGTGTTGGTAGGTGTCCAAGAATGTCCCTTGTCAAAGTACCTGGAAGTGCAGAAAACGCCTGGAAACGCTTTATACAATCAGCAGTACGCAGAAGCTTTTCAGAAACATCCAAGAAAACGAGGTATCACGTGTCACGTTTAGAGTGCGCAATTACCTATATCATCACCGTACTTCGTATGTCACACCAACTCTAAGATGCAG